AGGTCAGGGAGGTTTTAAAAAGGCCTGGGCCAGGAAGAAGGGCAGCCATTATCCATGCGGTCATCCAGGTGAATCTGAACCTGGCTCTCTCCTCATCACCGCATGCTGCAAGAGTGCCCTGCCTCCAGAGGAAACAACAACCACCGCTGGACGATGCGAGTGAGTAACCTGCTAGAGATCCGATCAGATATTTAGCTTCAGTAACTCAGATGCGTGTTGAAACGGCTACCTCAGCCACCCTGGTTTGCTCTATGGGATTCCTTTGATATTCCTGTAAGATTTCTATGATATTGCTCTACCTTTTACCCTATTTCTGCCCTACCCCTGTAATCAATAAAGTTCTCCTTTGTGACCGGTGTGGAGACTTATTGAGGGGTGGGACTAAATTATGCCAAGGAGGCCCCTGAGGTCTGTGGACTAAGGGAGGCTTCCTAATCAGCCCCTGACTTGGGGAAGTGCCCCAAGTGCTTGTATTGGGTCTAGCACCCATTGGACGATCAGGCCTGTGTTTTCCAAGGTGCACAGAGCCAGAAGTGAGTCCAGAGCCTTGGATGGTGGCAGCGGGAACCCCAGGCTAGCGGGGGTGCTCCGGGGAAGGGGTCGGCCGGACGGGAGGCACCCTAAGGGAGGCACTCGGAGCCTGGAAGGTGGTCGGGAGCAGGGAGGTGGGCGGCTCAACGCAGGAGCGCCCCCTACTGGCCCACCACAATCTGAATGTTCACTCAAGTTGCACGAAGCAGCATGGGTGCACACAAATGCTGCCTTTGGTTAGTGCAACAGTGGCATGACAAGGAGCTGGTAGCTCTGATAATTCTGCACTGGGGAGGCCACATCTGGAGTCCTGTGTCCAGCTGTGGGCCCCCCACTACAGAAAAGATGTGGACATATTGGAGAGAGTGCAGTGGAGGGCAACAAAAATGGTTGGCAACATGTCTTGTGAGGAGAGGCTGAGGGAACTGGGCTGGTTGAGTCTGCAGAAGAGAAGACCGAGGGGGATTGAATAGCAGCCTTCACCTCCCTGCAGGGGGGCTGCAAAGAGGATGGAGCTGGGCTGGTCTCAGTGGGGGCAGATGGCAGGACAAGGAGCAATGGGCTCAAGCTGCAGCAAGGAAGGTTTAGGGTGGATATTAGGAAGAACTCTCTCACGAGGAGGGTGGTGAAGCACTGGAGCAGGCTCCCTAGAGAGGGGGTGCAGTCGCCATCCTTGGAGATTTTTAAGATCCGACCTGACAAAGCCTTGTCCGGGATGATGTAGCTTGGGTTGGTCCTGCTTGGAGCAGGGGGCTTGACTAGATGTGACCTCCTGAGCTCCCTTCAACCCTCATTTTCTGATTCTCTGCTTCTGATAAGTGCCAGTGCTGGCATCGCCCTCTGATCTTTGTGTCCAGCTCGGGCCCCAGCCCTGACTGAGCTGGGTGTGGGTCTCTCTGGGATCCCAGCCGGGACAACCAGCTCTTCTGGGGTGGCTGAGAGAGCAGAAGGCCCCAGCCAGGCATGTGTCTAGGCCCTACCTGCTGCTTGTTGGCTACAGCAAGCGTCCGGACGGTGAAGCCAGCTCCCGGCTCCTCTGAGATCAGCGTGACGTGGAAACGGCCGTAGGTGGACTCTCCGTGACTAGGCCAGAACTCCAGGTAGGTCTGGGGAGGGACCAGACGTCAACGCACATAGGCGCATTCATAGGTGTGTGTGCGCACACAGGTGGGCTGCACACAGCACCATTTAAAGACACCCAAACACATGCATATCCACACCTGTGTCCACACATAGGCCTCGGCAGAGAGGGGGGCACCTCACACATGCACACACATCCACAACTATGTATTTTCTGAGAGTTCTCCATGCATCTGTGTACACACACACACACAGCTGCAGACAAACACTGACACTCCTGGTGCTGCAGATGGGACAGGGAGAGATGCATATAGCAAAGCCCCCATGCAGACACTGGTGAAGGGTCGTGCCCCCCCATACCCTCACTGCACACACATGGGTGCCAGCACGCTCACACCATCCCACTGCTATCACCTGGCCTTGCCCACCCCCATAGAGCCAAGCAGAAAGAGGGTCCAGTCCCACCTCCTGGGATGCTGGTTGGAAAGACAGAGGTGGGGGGTTGCAGTGGGGACGTAGAGGCAGACTCAAGCCCTGTGTCAGGGAAAGAAACCCTCTGTGTGTATGTGCAGGGTGACTGGCTTTACTCTATGTGCTTCTGCCACCCCCAAGTTCAGCCCAAGCCCCCTGGGAGCCCACGAGGATGCTCTAGCAGCTTCCCCAACACCCAGTCAAGCATCTCAGGACCTTGCCCTGAGCTCCCCGGCCCTGGCGCTGGCAGCCCACAGATGACCCCACATGCAAAGATGACCTGGTCCAGCCCCTT